AGTAAAACAAAAGGTATTATAATTTATTATTAATAAAACCTTGTTGCAGCACTAAAGCAGAAAAATTAGATTTTGCATTAAATATGCAAAATATTTACATATGAATTGTTTTAGAGCCCTTTAATTGGCAGAATCTGATATTAATTTAGTTCTTACAAAAAATGGGTCCCAACATGGTTTGTGTGGTGTTGCCATAGTGTGACGTCATAGGCACAGATCCCTGTCCTCTTGTTTGGAAATGGAAATATGGTCACCCTACATTAAACAAACTGTCCACCCGGGCTTTTGCGCTGCACAGAGACGCTTCGCTGCCTACGACTGAACGTCAGTTGAGAGTCAGTCTCATGCAGACTGACCAATGAAGAGAGGGCCTCAAGTTAAGACCCTCTCCTCTAGGGCTGCAACAAACGATTATTTGGATAATCGATTAATCGGATGGGGTCTCGACACGATTAATCGGATTACATGGGGAAATTTTTAAAAACTGCTAGGGAAACGTTATTTCTCTCCTTCCTTCACTTTATTTAACACAACATTATTAGAAAACAGTTCAATAGCAGAAAAACAACATGCCATCACCTAAATTGTCTTATAAGGTGTATAGACAGAGACCCTAAGCTACATCTATCTGTGACCTAAAATGCTTGGTCCAAGTTAAACAGCTTAAGGGCAATTCTCATCTGTTTTGTTTGATCTCATCTGTTGACATTTATTTTAAATGTAATTAAACATAGGCTGTGAATTTATCAAAATTGATCACTATTTCCAAAAATGACTGAAAAAATACCAAATAAAACAAAAGTAAATGAATGCCATCCTCCTTGCGATGATGCCCTGGGCAACTGCCATAAAGTCACATCAAGAAATGCTGCTGATCATTCCAATGATCCCAAATAGACTCACATTAGGCCACATGAAAGCAACTGAACCCAAAAATATATTAACCAGTATATAACTGCACTCTCACACAACACGCCTGCAGCAACAGTTAGGACTCCTCCCTCCCTTTTAAAAGCGTTTTTGCTTCTGAGGACATTGTGGTTGTAAAACCACATGCTAGTAGTCTGGCCCCGGTGTGATCAACCAGTTTCTGCGGGAATGTGACGGCGGAACCAGGGCCAGATTAACACTTTGTTGTACCCTGGGCAACAATATTCAAGGGCTCCATCATCACGACCCAAGGATCACCATAATGTGGTCACATACAGAATATTTTACTGTAATATGCAGTAAATATACTCAATACTTGAATGCCTGACAACACGTAACCCGCCCAGAGTAACCTTTGACCCACCTCGTGTGGACTGACCAATGAGGAGAGGGTCTTAACTTGAGGCCCTCTCTTCATTGGTCAGTCTGCATGAGACTGACTCTCAACTGACGTTCAGTCGTAGGCAGCGAAGCGTCTCTGTGCAGTGCAAAAGCCCGGGTGGACAGTTTGTTTAATGTAGGGTGACCATATTTCCATTTCCAAACAAGAGGACAGGGGATCTGTGCCTATGACGTCACACTATGGCAACGCCACACAAACCATGTTGGGACCCATTTTTTGTAAGAACTAAATTAATATCAGATTCTGCCAATTAAAGGGCTCTAAAACAATTCATATGTAAATATTTTGCATATTTAATGCAAAATCTAATTTTTCTGCTTTAGTGCTGCAACAAGGTTTTATTAATAATAAATTATTATACCTTTTGTTTTACTACAGCATCGGTAAGCTTCCTGTGCACAGATTATTAAGGATGCTTGTTTCAACTGTGAGATTAGACGATAGGATCAATGAAAAAATAAGTTGTCACAAACTCCATGGAAACTTTCAGAGAATCCACAAATAGTGGCTTTCAAATGGTTTTGTTACTTTTTGCAAGTTTATAAAATAAGCAGATGAGACAGCATGTCTGATAATTTAGTTTTTCATCTGATAATATTAGAGCATGTCAGTAATGTCTGAGGGGCTTTTATAAACACCATATAACTAACACTACTGGAGAGGGTATGAATTACACAGAGGCTTCTGGGGAGCCCAGTTATTGGGGGTGGGTGGGGTCATTTTGCCTTGGCCCCCAAAATGTCTTGAAACGGCCCTGGGTGTGTGACTAAGTTTTGAAGGTGATCTGAATTGTATCAGATGTATAAATATGACATGTGTATAACTTATTGTTTTTTACTGGTAAAAACGTGTAGTGGTGATAAATCTACCTACATTTTACTTTTCAACACTTTGTTTTGTTTTCTTGTTTTTATTGAACTATTTTCCTGTCCTGTCTGTCTCTCATCTTCCTGCATCTCCTCTTAATTCTCCAGAAAATCTGTTGCCTGGATTCTTACCTTTTCACCTCATCAGTTACTTTTGAGCAGGTCAAAGGGATCTCCTGACCGAAAAGCGCAGAGCGCGTTTTCGATGCTGCGTGAGGTGACATCACCACAGCACAGGTGATGAGCTCCGCAGTAGCGCGCTTCAGGCACAAATAAGACAGAAAATAGAGAACATGTGCGGACATGAACGATCGTGTGCTAATTATAGTTTTTTGGTTGCGCCACTTTGAGAATGGACCGTGCACTGGAAGCAGCTGCCTGGATCGCTGTGCAACAATGCGGAACCGGTTCGCAGCAGCTCAAGTCTGCCGGCTCTCCCTCACGCTGATCTGCGGCTCTCCCTCGCGCTGATCTGCCGGCTCTCCCTCGCGCTGATCTGCGGCTCTCCCTCGCGCTGATCTGCCGGCTCTCCCTCGCGCTGATCTGCGGCTCTCCCTCGCGCTGATCTGCGGCTCTCCCTCGCGCTGATCTGACTTGCTCTGGTCTGCGCGCAACGGCGGGCGGGAAGGGGGGGGCGCTTTTGGAAGAGTTGTGCGACACAACGAATCGATGACGCAATTCGTTGCCAACGCTTTTAGTAATCGATTTTCATCGAATTTATCGATTCGTTGTTGCAGCCCTACTCTCCTCATTGGTCAGTCCACACGAGGTGGGTCAAAGGTTACTTTGGGCGGGTTACGTGTTGTCAGGCATTCAAGTATTGAGTATATTTACTGCATATTACAGTAAAATATTCTGTATGTGACCACATTATGGTGATCCTTGGGTCGTGATGATGGAGCCCTTGAATATTGTTGCCCAGGGTACAACAAAGTGTTAATCTGGCCCTGGTTCCGCCGTCACATTCCCGCAGAAACTGGTTGATCACACCGGGGCCAGACTACTAGCATGTGGTTTTACAACCACAATGTCCTCAGAAGCAAAAACGCTTTTAAAAGGGAGGGAGGAGTCCTAACTGTTGCTGCAGGCGTGTTGTGTGAGAGTGCAGTTATATACTGGTTAATATATTTTTGGGTTCAGTTGCTTTCATGTGGCCTAATGTGAGTCTATTTGGGATCATTGGAATGATCAGCAGCATTTCTTGATGTGACTTTATGGCAGTTGCCCAGGGCATCATCGCAAGGAGGATGGCATTCATTTACTTTTGTTTTATTTGGTATTTTTTCAGTCATTTTTGGAAATAGTGATCAATTTTGATAAATTCACAGCCTATGTTTAATTACATTTAAAATAAATGTCAACAGATGAGATCAAACAAAACAGATGAGAATTGCCCTTAAGCTGTTTAACTTGGACCAAGCATTTTAGGTCACAGATAGATGTAGCTTAGGGTCTCTGTCTATACACCTTATAAGACAATTTAGGTGATGGCATGTTGTTTTTCTGCTATTGAACTGTTTTCTAATAATGTTGTGTTAAATAAAGTGAAGGAAGGAGAGAAATAACGTTTCCCTAGCAGTTTTTAAAAATTTCCCCATGTAATCCGATTAATCGATTAATCGTGTCAAGACCCCATCCGATTAATCGATTATCCAAATAATCGTTTGTTGCAGCCCTAATTCAGTCAGTCTATGACCGCTGTGATGAGTTTCCCACATTGCATGTGCTACAGACTGGTTTCCTTATTACATGTGTTTACTTTTCATTCAGATCCAGATAGGGGGCAGCAGTAGCTCAGGAGGTAGAGTGGGTTGTTCAGTAATCAGAAAGTTGCAGGTTCGATCCAAGCTCCTACCAGTGAAAGCTGCTGTTGTGTCCTTGTGCAAGTCACTAGGGCTTGGCAATAAATAGAAAATTTATCATTATCACGATAAGAGTAAAAAATTTTGATAATTTTTCCCATGTCAATAAATCTGATAATAAAAAATCTAAAAGATGTGTGTAGGTTGGCAACATTCATGTTCCTTTAAGAAGCTGTATCGCCTTGAGTCACGTAAAAATGTGACTCAACGCGATACATGTGACAGCCCCATCTAGTGGACAACTTTTATTTCTGCGCATACCTGTAGTTATCGTCCACTTATCGTTATCGAAGTGAAATCCTCAATATATCGTGATATTAATTTTAGGCCACTCGCCCAGCCCTACAAGACACTTAACCCCCCTTGCCTGCTGGTGGTGGTCGGAGGGACCGGTGGCGCTAGTGCTGTGGCTTCATGGTAGCTCACCTCCACCAGCGTGTGAATGTGTGTGTGTGTGTGTGTGAATGGGTGGATGACCGATTGTGTTGTGAAGCGCCTTGGGAGGCTGTAGATCCCCAAGATGGTGCTAAACAAGTACAGGCCATTTACAGACAAATTCTGGTGTGATTAGAAGTTTTCTGTAAAGACCTGATGCAGCTTCGGAGAAACCGAATTTCTGCGTAATCTAAAAGGTTTCAGGCAAACTCATGTTTGCATTCATGTCTCCTGTTGTTTTGTAGGCAGTCATGTTACAGCAGTTAGAGGATGAATTAGACATAACAGTCTTCTCTGTAGTTGTGTGCAAAGCTGTCATTAACTCAGTGTGTTTGTGTTTTGTGCAGTTGTTGACTTTATTTTTGTTTACTCTTTTATATAGAGTCTGATTACAGCTTGCGGTGATTTAGGTGCCCATAATTTGTGATGCTGTTGACTTGTGTGTGTCAGACTAAGTGATGTGTCATACTGAGGGTTTCATAGTGACTCTTTCTCTCTTTTAAGGATAAACACCATGATGCTGCTCATGAAATCATTGAGACCATTCGGTAAGTGAGCTCACCGCCTTCGAGCTCAGCCCTCTCCTAAACTCCCACATTCTCATCATTTTTGGCAAATTCCTGGTACGGTGATGAACTTGTTTTTTATTTTATTTATTTATTTTTAATAGGTGGGTGTGTGAGGAAATCCCAGACCTCAAATTGGCGATGGAAAATTATGTACTCATTGACTATGACACCAAGAGGTGAGTTTTTAAACTGAGTTTTACTGTGATTTTATGTAAAGTCTAGAGCTCTTTTAAAGGGGCTCTAGATTTTAAATCCACATTTACCTTGTTGATGTTGAATAAAGGCAGCTTGATGTGTCTAATGTAGCATACGTAAAGTCTGTGCGGCCTCTGACCTGCTTTCTTATAATGTGAGAAATGATTCATTCTGAGAATTGTAGATTAACGTGTCATAAGCATAGACAGACACCCTTAAATGTGCATTTCCCAACCACTTCAGCATCAGCAATACATAAATGTTTATGGTGGGAATGCTGGGCTGCGCAGTGGTTAGAGCTGTTGCCTTGCAGCAAGAAGGTCCTGGGTTCGCTTCCCAGCCTGGGATCTTTCTGCATGGAGTTTGCATGTTCTCCCTGTGCATGCGTGGTTTCTCTCCGGGTACTCCGGCTTCCTCCCACAGTCCAAAAAAAAAAAAACATGACTGTTAGGTTGATTGGTCTGTCCAAATGTTCCTTAGGTGTGAGTGTGTGTGTGCGTGATTGTTTGTCCTGTGTGTCTCTGTGTTGCCCTACGATGGGCTGGCTCTCTGTCCAGGGTGTACCCCGCCTCCTTGCCTGTTGACTGCTGGAGATAGGCACCAGCCCCCCACGGCCCTACGTGGACAAGCGGGTTCAGAAAATGGATGGATGGATGGTGGGAATGCTAATCATAGAACAATGCTAGCCAGAGCTACTGCTAGTGCTAGCCCAAGCTTCTGCTAAGGTCCTTGATTGGACATGAGAAAACCAACAAAGAAAAATATTGGAGCTTGCATGTAATGTTCCAGAATGTACTTACAATATCCAGACTTTTAATGAATGCCAAACAGATCCATAGCTTTCCTATTGAGTTATACAGTTTTATATATATATATATATATATATATATATATATATATATATATATATATATATATATATATGTGTATATATATATATGTGTATATATATATATGTGTATATATATATATATATATATATATATATATATATGTATATATTTATATGTATGTATATATATATATATGTATATATATATATATGTATATATATACACATACATACTAGGGCTGGGGGTAAACGATTATTTTTAAAACGATTATTCTGACGATTATTTTATCGAATAGTCGACTATTCTAATGACTATTTAGACAATTAATCTAATGATTATTTTTCTATTGCCCAGTTAATAAAAACCAAAAAAATCTCTAATAAATTCCTCAAAAAAAGTGATAAATTGTTACTGTAAGAGAATAAACACTACAGGCCTTCTATTTTGTAAAACACTGCTTTTATTGTGTTGGTTGGTTATGTTCTGGTGACATGTTGAACTTGGGAGTGCAGGCTGCTGCCTGAGAGGTGGTCGGAGAGACGGAGTGTCTCCATACTGCTTTGTTTTGGTCACTTATGTGTGTGAGGCGAGTGGTGTTACGACTCTTCCTGGGGAGTTTGGCTCGTGTGCAAAAAGGAAGGGACAATAACGGGATTTAAAAGTTAAAATGATGATCAGGTTTATTTACAACTACAAAAAAACATAAACCTTTCCATCCACAGGTTGGGAATAATAAAACTAATTCTGCCTGTGGGGAATTAAAACAAAAGTACAAATAAGTAGGGATGTCCAACTGGGCAAAGATTACAGGGTTCTGGAGCAAAATAAGAATCTCCAAAGGTCCAACTCTAAACTGGGTGGTTAAACCAAACTCAAGGTGATATCTTAAACGAAACCAAAAACCCACAACACTCTAAATGTAATAAAAGGGAGATCTACGCCACAAAAAAAGATTAACTCTAAACCAAAACGTAACAGCTTTTCCCAACGCAAGAAGATGTTAGCGAAAATGCTAACAGTAGCTTTACCAACGTTAAGTTGAAGTTACCAAGTTTAAATAAACCAAAAACACCCAGCGGCAAACAGACCAGCACGGAGGAGAGACTGCTACCACCAAAACAGCTCTCCTAATGTCTGAAAGAAGCTCCTTAATGAAGGGAGAAACGCTCCCGGTGATGTTCTACATCTGCTATAGAGACGGAGCAGCGCATCTGACCCCGGAAGTTGTTGTCCGTTGCCGGGAGATGAAGGCGGGCAAAACAGGAAAGGAATCTAGTAGTGGACGGACATTGTTCCGGGTCTTCGGTATTTGGCGGAGATGTTAGTGAAGGCGGAGAAGAGGGTGAACTAGAGGAAAAACATGCAGATTCCTCTTCTATTTACAAACTCCTGGGGATGCAACAAGTGGGCGCGGTGCGTCGACTACCGGATCTGACGTCGACAAATTTTTTGAATCGAGCCGTCGACGTCATCGAGGCGTCGCTACAGCCCTAATACATACACACATATATACATTATATATGCAGTGACGCATCCGTAAACACAGATACGTGTGACGCAGGACGTCCGATGGGAACCCCGCGTGAGAGGATGCAGGGGTTCCCCCAGTGAGCGAGGTCCCCGCCCACTGAAGGGGGAATCCTCAACATACGTCTCTTCTGACGTATTGGGTGTACCCGGAGACGGACGAACCAGCGTTGCAAGCGCCTCGTGCGCAGCAAACCTAGCGGCACCACTGAATGGGCTGCGGACATCATGCCCAGGAGTTTCATGACTAACCGGGCTCTCACGATCTTGCGGGGTTGAACACGGGAGATCACCGTGGAGAGATCTGCCGCTCTTGCAGGCGACAAACGTGCTCTCATTAGGGAGGCGTCCAACTCCACCCCGAGATACACATTCGACTGGGATTGAAGGATGGAGCTCTTTTCCCAGTTTATAGAAAACCCTAGGGTTGACAGATGCCCTGTCAACCTCCTGGTTTGCTGTGACGCCTCGTCCTTGGACCGAGCGCACAGGAGAAGATCGTCCAGGTAAAATAAGACCCTCATTCCCTCCGTGCGCAGTGGCTGCAGCGCGGTCTCCAGACATTTGGAGAAGGTGCGCGGGGCTAGCGAGTAGCCGAAAGGGAGGCGATTGAACTGATATTGAACTCCCTTGAACGAAAAACGCAGAAACTTCCGGTGGTTTGGAACTACTGGTATGTGGAAGTATGCGTCTTTCAGGTCGATTGACGTGAACCAATCCCCGGGGCGCACATATTCCAGGACTTGTCTCATCGTTAACATGCGGAAATGCATTACTGCTATGGAGCAGTTGAACAGGGACAGGTCGAGAATCGGCCTCATTCCTCCTGACTTCTTCGGTACTACGAAGTAGCGGGAGTAGAAACCCGAGAGTTCTTGTCCGCGAGGGACTCGGGAAATAGCGTCTTTGGACAGAAGTTCCCGCAGCTCCAGCTCTAGCGCCTGAGACTGTACTTGCGATGTGAACGTCGTCTCCACGATCCCGTTGAAGGGAGGTGGAGTGGCCTGAAAATGAAGTGTGTGACCGCAATGAATGGTGTCCGAAATCCATTTGCTCGTGCGCGCGTTCCGACAGTGGACGCGTGTGCGCGGTCACGTGAACAACGTCTGAGGGTTGTGCATGCGCCCTTACCGCCGTCGCCCGTACCAGAGAACTGGGGGCGACCCATGGAGGGCTGCGCTCGAAAGGGCGAGTGCGAAACAGCTGGAACAGACTGGTCCACACCGCGGAGCGTGGAGTCCGAGAGTGAAGGACGAGTGGGAGCCGGGCCTGTGAACGGGGGCGACAGAGTGCTAGCGGATGGAGCCGCGCGTGGTCGAGACAGCGACATGACATCCCGCCCCACCCAACGGCGTGGGGAGAGCGGGAAGAGTTGGGCCTGGCCGGATGCTGGGGCCAGAGCGCAAATGGAGCGCACCCTTACGGCTGGCCGTGTATTAGGACTACCTGCAGGAACATGTGTGCGTGCAGCAGTGCTTGGTGTGGGGAACATGTGTAAAAACTCGGCAGAGGATTCTGCGGAGGACTGTAGGATTGTACTCTTTGAGTGACGTTTTTTGGGTTTTATTTCAAAACCAACAACATCAGAACAATCAGTAACACACACATTCCCCCCAAAGAGTCACTTCCGTGGCTGCTTTCGGCGAGGCTCCTGCACCTGGGACTGCCAAGACGGCGTCTGCTGGCCCCGCCGGAACCGTTGTCCGCCATCTCGCTGGTCCCACTGATGTGGAGCCGAAGCGGGAGGCCGGCTCCGTGGAGCGGGCGGTGCAGCTGGACGTCTGAAGCTTCCGCGCCGTTCGTCCCATCCTCTGGCTGAACGGCCGGAGTGCGAGGCTGACCGAGGGTGGACCAGGTCTCGCACCGTAGCCGATAGTTCGGCCGTCTTCTGAGCCCTCTCAATGACGCCCCTAAGATGGGGACCAAACAGAACATCGGTGGTGATGGGGCCATCCAGCATCTCCCTTCGCAGATGTTCCGGAATGGAGGGCAGGGCCTTCAGCCAGATCGCTCGCTGGATGAGGGTCTGCCAGGCAGCGATGCGAGCAGACCCGGTGAGCACAGCAGCACACAGATTGAGGATAGCATCAGCAGTCTTAGTTATGACTGCTTTCGACTCCTCGGGAGCTTCCAGCTCCTCCATCATCTTGGAGACGCCGAAGGCAAGAAGGGCGATGTTATTCCCTGCAGCACCGGTCTGAAAGGCACACTGATGTGCGCGGTCGGTGAGCCGCGTCAGCAGCTGGTCATGTTTTGAAGCGGGAACAGCTCGCAGGCCAGCGAGGTGGTTCTTGGCGCCGAACAGCGAGGCCAAATCCGGCTCTAGTGGAGGAACGGACGGCCAGCCTTGGTCGGAAAACCCCTCGACCTTGGTGATGGGCGCATACGTGGAGACAGGCGCCTTGAGCTTGGCAGGCTCGGAGAAGGCGGCAGACCAGCAGCTCATAGCAGCGGGGAAGCGCGGCCAGATAGGGTCTGGACAGCGTGTCTGAGTTGCCCCGAAAATTCCCGCCAAATCATCTGCTTCAGGCAGGGCCGGTTCTGGCACAGCTAGCCCCTTGCGGGCTGCTGCTGCAGAAATGATGGCGGGCAGCTCCTGGAGCAGTGCTCTTACTGCTGGCAGGGAGGAGCGAGAAGCCACTGGGGCAGAAGGACCCGCTGAGCGAAGCTCGTCGACCTCCGTTATGTCTAGGAGGGATGCCGCCTCATCGTAGTTTTCGCTGTCGGTGACGTCATCCAGCCGGTTGAAGCCAGCCGGCTCCTGACCGGCGTCGAAGAAAACCAAAGCCTTGTCCAGCGGGTAGGAGTCATCCACCGGAAATTCTTCGGCGGCGGCGGGAGTGAAGTACTCGACCCGGCGAATCTTCTCCGCCACGGGCAGAGCGGCACAGAACGGGCACGAGGCCTGCGGGGTCAAGGCCAGGCCAGCGTGGTGAGCCCCGAGACAGACCTCACACTTAGCGTGCAGGTCGCCGCTGGAAATGGAGCCCGTCTGGCAGGTCGGGCAGGGTCTGGCGTCGCTGGACATGGCTGGTAAGTCGTCTTCGGATAATTTTGCTCTTTTGGGATAATATTTGCTCTTTAATAAAGCTCTCAAGCTTGGCATGAAGAGAAAAAGGAGGTGAGCAGTGGGGTCACTGCGGTTATATACCACGAGGGGGCCCACTATTGGTGGGCGTACATTTAAGCTCTTCATGATTGGCTGATGCGGAGATCATCCTTCCAATAGCAGCTAGCTTAAGGGCTAAGACTAGACGAAATAGAACAGTTTCCAATTGTAAAGAGAAAAAAATTGACTACCGTGATTGCAAGTAAAACTCTGCCTAATCTAGGGCTGTCAATTGATAAAAAATAAATAATTGCCATTAATCGTAGATTCTGAATATACATCAACATGATGGTTGAAATCTCACCATCTCCAACTCAACCTCTAAAAACCAAATTACTTGTTATCCCAGCGAAACCATCCATACGACACAGCATCTCAATCATAAATGATTCCCCGTCTTGGCTTCTTCAAAGGCAGTTCGAAACTTGTGTATTGTGATTGATGACCAGCTGACTTTTAAAGATCACGTTGCCTCGGTCGCCTGTTCATGCCTTTTAGCGCTGTACAACATACCAAAGATCAGACCGTACCTAACACAATATGCCACCCAGCTCCTGGTGCAATCTACTGTCATCTCCCGCCTCGTCTACTGCAATACCCTACTAAATGGTCTTCAAATGGTCCAGAATACAGTGGTGTGCCTGGTCTTCAATCAGCCTAAAAGAGCACATGTCAACCCTCTGTTCATTGAGCTCCATTGGCTACCGCGTCAAATTCAAATGGCTAGCACTAGCATACAAAGTCCTGGATGGTATGGCTCTGATCTACCTGAATCCTCCTGTAAAGGCTTACATCAAGGCTGGGTCGCTCCAGTCATCAAAGGATTGTCAGCTAGCAGTGCCTACACCACGCTCAGGACAATCCAGACTCTTTTCATGTATCGTTCCACAGATTAGGAATGACCTACCAAGTACTACTAGAACAGGGGCTTCGTTATCAATTTTCAAGAAACTCCTGAAGACCCAGCTCTACAGAGAACATCTTCTAAACTAGCAACCTCCCTGCACCTGTCCCCCACTCTACTGTCCACTCCTTGTTCACTTCCCTTGTTGATTCATTATGCTGCCTCACTGCCACCTCGGATTGACTGATTAGTGTTTGTTGTTAGCCTCAAGGGCAACCTGCTGGCTTCATTATCACTAGTACGTTGTTTTGGACAAAAGCGTCTGTTAATACATAAACATAAACATCATACTTTTCATGTTTCTAATGCTTTTACAAGCTGAGGTTTCAACAGTTTTTCCAATGAGGTATCCTATAGGGCTTCCACACTAGCATCGGCTCTATAATACCTGGACTGGGTAAAGAGTGTTCACATCAGCATAGCCTTGATTTTTTTCCGCACGTAACTGGTCATTTTTTCAGTACTGGTCCAACACACCCACTGCTGACTGACTGGCCAGTTGAAATTCAAACCTCTACCATTAGGGAGAGCCTCCGATTAGCAGAGAAGTCCTGCATTCCTGCTATTCATTGTCATTTTGGATACTGAGGAAGAAACATGCCTCTGATAGAAGCTGTCAGTGACACCCCCCCCCCCCCCCCCCCCCCCCACACACACACACACACACATACACTGCTTCAAGGCTTGAGCTGCCCAGTGGGAGGACATATACAGCAGAGCAGAATGCAATATCAGTCAGACAGTTTATCATCTCAGCGGATTCTGTTAACAAAAGTGAAACTTGCTGCCCGTAATTTGAGGGAGACACCGCAGACTTCTCCGTGCGTCTTTTGCCCACGGGTTCGGAGATGTGTTCATGACATCACTGATATCTTCTCACCAACTTTGGCACCATGCTTGGCACAGTCCCCATGTGCAGCATTACAGAACAGTATGAAAATCACAAATGATGAAAAGTGAGTTTACTGAAACACGCTGTGTGAGCTTATGATGAGCTACAGTATAGCCACAGCTGCCCTGGGGAACACTGACAGAGGCGTTGGGTGATTGAGTAGTTAGTGGTGATCATAACACCCGTTTGAACATTTAAGAGTTTTATGATGCAGATTTTGACAAATGTATGACTTTTCTAAACTTCATTTTGAAAATAAAAATCTTTTAGCAACTTTTTATTAAAGGAGACATATAATGAAAAATCCACGTTTTTAGTCTTTAAATGCAACGTGTTGTGTAGTTTAAGTCTCCAGGTGTGCAAAAAAAAAACAAAAATTGTCACTTTGGTTAATAATTAAAATTTCTAGAATGAGATTTTGGTCTCATATTTTAACCTGTTTAGTTTTCTCAATTTTCTATTACATGTGGTTCTCTTTCATCAAGACATCTGCCAAATATGGTGATGGACTTCTAGCTATACACAGAGCTTCTTCTTTGTAGTTCATTTAGAAAAAAGCTGAATGTCCGGTCATTTGCCACATGCCTCTCTGAACTGTCTCTCACTTGTGTTTGTCTCGGTCTTAATGCATGAGAGAGTTGGTAGAACTGAGACACAGCTGGGTGGACAAATCTTCCTACATGTTTTAAAAATGAAAATATAACTTTTCTGCTATGCTAAACAACCATTTCTCTATAAAACTACTAAAACGTACAACTGGGGTGGGGAGTGAACTCTGCTCTGTGGAGGGGGGAGGGGTTTGCAGCTCTTCCTTCAGATTTAGAGACAGAACCAAAATGGCTCATTTTCAGACTCTCCTCAGAACAGGGGTAAAGGAGCAGAGCAACAGTGTTGAGGAAATCAGACCCAAGAACTGCTGTTCTGTTATATTTGGACCACAGCTGAATGATTTGGTTGCAGAATGGAAGAACTTAAAAGCATGATATGTCTCCTAAATGTACAGACCAAAGGGGCTTGTGGTTAAGGAGCGTATGATGATGAATGGTTTAATCCTCTGATGATCTGCTCTCCGGTGGTGCCTGTATACATTCTGATTGTAGTTTGTGTTTTTTCCTTTAGTTTTGAGAGTATGCAGAGACTTTGTGACAAATACAACAGGGCCATTGACAGCATCCACCAGTTGGTGAGTTCACGTGTCGGAATGTCCTCACTGTTCTGTGGGTGGTGTGAAACCATCAGGTCAAATGTGGAAAATGTTTAATCTGCATATGTCTTTGTTTATTCTTAGATGTGACCACTAAATAATCTTTATTTAAATCCATACTTATAGTTTACCCATGCTTATTAATTATATCTGTTTATTGTCCAATGCCAGGTGGTAGGGAGGCTTTAAAATTGATTTATCCATTGCAGTGGAAGGGGACCACCCAGCCAATGAAGTTAAACAAGCGTCCTTCCAACGGGCTGCTGAGACACATCTTGCAGCAGGTGTACAACCACTCAGTGACCGACCCCGAGAAACTCAACAACTATGAGCCCTTCTCCCCTGAGGTTTATGGAGAAACCTCATTCGACCTGGTGGCTCAGATCATTGACGAGATGGAAATGATGGAGGATGACACTTTTGTTGACCTTGGCAGTGGTTAGTTTATTTTTTATTTTTTTACAGCGAATAAAGACCTTTATATAAATACTGTTAACTCAACAAAGATTTGCAGGATGCACCAAGTTACAGAGAGGAGAGAGAGGATGTTGGTTTAAATTTAATTGGATTTTTACCTGCTGATATGTTAATGTTGACGTTTGCAGGAGTGGGGCAGGTGGTGCTGCAGGTTGCAGCAGCAACCAACTGTAAACACTACTACGGCGTGGAGAAAGCAGACATTCCAGCTACGTATGCAGAGGTAACCACACCGTAGGTCACAGCAAAAACCTAATTTTGGCCATGTTAAAACAGACCCTGTACACCCGTAGACGGGTTTCCCTCAAAACCAGGATATTTTACTACGGTTTGGCATGTCATTCACATTAAAGTAAGGCTGGACAATATGGCCTCAAATTAATATTATTGAGGATTTCACCTCGATAACGATAAATGGACAATAACCACAGGTACATGCAGACACAAAAGTTGTCCATTAGATGGGGCTGTCACATACTGCAGTCATCATTAAGAAGTTATTGGTGTGGTCTGATTAAATGTGTAGAAAGAGCTGCAGCTGCAGATAAATGCATCTTAATCCCAGCTGGTAGCATGAATGCTTTAATAAACCACCGCTAAAGGTAAAATGCTGATCTGACTCTTGAATGCAGCAGAAATGTTACAATATTATGAAATGATCTCATCACATGTTTCTCCTCCAGTGTGCTTAAATCTTCCAGTGCCCAGATCCATTTACTTGGGTTTGTGTTATAGTCAGGCTGTAGCACACTGGTGGTCATTTACAATCAGAAATAAAGTATTTATGTTGTTAGGTTTTAACGGGGTCAACTACTGGTTGCATTTACTCTGAACTCCAAAATAAATGAGCGTCTGAGGAAAAACTAAGGCTAAAAGGAGGTAAATCTGTTCTTGACAGAAAACCATGTTATTTAGTGGTGATTTTGTTCTACTTGCATTTGGCTCAAAACTACTGCGAGATGTTGAAACTCATCATATTCACAGTGAGCACCGCTCTGCTCCATCTCTACAGCGTGTGACTAAGGCCCTGTCCACACGTAGCCGGGGATCTGCCAAAACGTAGATATTTTTCTACGTTTTGGCCTGTCATCCACACGAAAACGGATCTTTTTAAAAACTCCGGCCAAAGTGAAGATCTGCGTTTCCTCCGTTTTGGGTGTCTGCGTGTGGACAGACAAAATCGGAGTTTTAAGGTCCGCAACGTCACTTTCCGCGACAACAAAATGCTGACATCTGTGTGCGACCTGTGTTTACACTAGCCGACAGCACGGATGCCCTCAGAGCTGTGCTCGCTTTATTTATTGTCCAAGCGCTTTTTGCTTGTTTGTGTTTGCAAGCGGAATTACTGCTCCTTGCGGAAGACCACAGACGAAGGACGAGGTTAAGAACGGGGGAAGTACTGACGCCTACAGGTCTGGCATGTCCTTAACAACGTATTTATCCGGGTATGTGTGGACAGAGTTTGTTTTTAAAATGCGGTGGTGTGGATGCAAGTTTTTGGCGGGGCGGATATTCGTTTTCAAAAAACCCCGGCTACGTGTGGACTAGGCCTAAATGGTCAGATGACAACACGTGACATATACGCTAGAACAAAGATAAGAAAAGATAAACAAGAGGAAACTCCTCTCCTGTCTCTGATTCTCATAAAGAGTGACTGAAACCAGACAGAAAGATGCCGCACGAGTGCTACATCTATAAATAGTTTATCGCAGAGACTGCACTGTATAGCCTTGAGCCTATAGTGGTGCAACGCTGCAACTGCAGTTAAAATAACATCCATATAGCTGGGGGCAGAGTGAAATGAGGCTGGGGCGGCACAAAATTAGCTGGAGGCGGCCGCCACGTAAATTTGAATGCAGGAAAACCCCTGAAATGTAAAATGTTTACCTTTAGATATGTTGCTTAGTGTTATTAGGAGGTGTCAGTATTAGCAAATGTACAAGATGCATGGCCTCTTTAAAAGGGTGATTGAAATGTGATTAGCTTTCACATCAACGAAGACTTTACCTCATTGTGTCGGACTCATTTAAAGGAGCTCCTGTTCCCTTTCAGACCATGGACAAAGAGTTTAAAAAGTGGATGAAGTGGTATGGGAAGAAACACGGGGAGTACACGGTGAGTTCAGTTCTCTGCTCTAAAGATTTTAACTGCTTGGTTTTTTATTGGTTGTTTCCCAAAATGTTTAGTTTTTTATTACCGTAATTAAACTGCTGTTATTTCCAGCTGGAGAGAGGTGATTTTCTGTCTGAAGAATGGAAAGATAGGATTGCTAACACAAGGTGATGTTCTAAACCTGGTTTCAGTGAGCGCCTCAAACACAATATTTACATTTATTGCAAATATCTACACATAAATAAAAGCTGAATATTCACTGGGGAGACAGGAATAATAGTTTTACTCATTTAATTGTACTGAATAAAAGTTTTAGAATGAACATGGAAGCTGAATCTATGATTGTGTGTGTAGTATGTATGTTTTTGACCCAAGGATATAAATATGTGATTCTTTGTCTGTTTTTCAGTATTATTTTCGTGAATAACTTTGCCTTTGGTCCAGAGGTAGATCACCAGCTGAAGGAACGTTTTGCTAATATGAAGGAAGGTTGGTACCCAAATAAATCAGAGCTCTAGTTACAGTTTTTCAAGTTTTTGTTCTTCCGACAAACAACAAAATGTATTCGAATGACCTGTTGGTGTTTTTCTTTTTCCTCAGGGGGGAAAATTGTGTCCTCTAAACCTTTTGCACCTTTAAATTTTAGAATCAACAGTCGAAACTTGAGTGGTAAGTATCTAATATGAATAGAGTCTGTGTGTGTTTTTACTTTATTTATGTAATGATTCTCTTCGTTCTACAGATATAGGCACAATAATGCGTGTTGTGGAACTGTCTCCATTAAGAGGCTCTGTATCCTGGACTGGAAAGCCGGTTTCTTACTACCTTCATACCATAGATCGCACCATAGTAAGCACCTGAACTTTGTTTTTTTTATTGCTCCTGTAATTAATGAAAATGTGGAAAATCTAGGTGGAAAATTGAGAGGAGAGCTTAACAAAGCAGAGCAATCTAATGGATTTTATAGACAAACAGGAGACTGAACTCAAGAGAGAAGCTGGCATTATTACATAATTGTGTTAGTGAGTAGTTGGCCCTGGAAGTAAACAGGAAGACACGTTCACAAGGTCACTTATTGGGATATTATGACTCTAATAAAGCTCATTTTGTCTGTGGGTTGCATTTTTAATGTTTAAGATTTAATAAACACTGTAATCTGGTGAGTTATTAAAAGTATTTTTC